GAAGTGTCGAATATGTTTATAATTTAATGTGTTTATAGCGGCCATGATTAAAATCGTTTTAGAAAAATACTTGAACGTTGGCATCGGTCAATAGATGAATCCTATTCGCAGTTAGAGAGACTCTGGGACATTTGATGTATTTCATTAAGTTAAAACTCCATATATAATACGAGCACATAGTACTAGGCACGTTTTTGTTTGTGGCTTGACCGCTTCTACAATTAATTGTAGAATTACTCTGAATTTTGCAGTCCTATAAGCCATATAAATATATAACCGTCCGGTTATAACAAACTAAAGTTTTAAATGTGTAACCAAAATGCAATTATGTTATATATATTAGGTTATTATTCAATAATATATTGATATAGGTGAAGTACGCTTTTCAATACAGATGCAAGATACTCAATTTCCATTATATATTCATTGTAGCATCTCTGTTCTTTTTGGTTTCTAGTACTAATTTAATCTATTAAAAAATGGCAGCTGTATGATTTGTTTTTTTGTGTGTCAAACTTCACTTAATATTCATCAAGAAAAAGTTATTTGCTGATAATAAGTTACTTGCATCTCTACAATGTCTTTTCACATATGTGATATGTGTAATTCTAGTATTTGTTTTAATAATGTCTTCTGATACACTACAATTATTCTACTATAGCCTTGAAAGAATATAACGGAGACTTATTAGATAGATTTGAAAGAATGTTAAAAAAAACATCATTTTTACAACCGTATCATAATCATATCTTTAGTCTATAAAGCTAAGCCAAACTACACTCGCAAATGACCAACAATTTTTTTTTTGGAAAATTTAACTAATTCTATTTACATGAAACTCCCAATAACCTCCACTAAATACTCAATGAGTGTTTCAAAAATACAGTCAATATATCTTAAAGCAATTATTAAAAGACATAGATAATATGTTTGAGTAGAACTTAAAAGAAAAGAAGAATAAGTGGGGATTAGAGTTTTAATGTTGGACACGAAATTGAACTTTGAACTCAATCAGTAACAAAGATTCTATTACACACAAAAATCAGGCCCAAGGCAGTGGCGGCCTCGAATTATGAACGTGAGGCACGACTTTGATATTACATCTCAAGTTGAAATTGAGTACATACTATTTTAATTCGGATAACCGAGCTAAGTTAATAAATTAAAATCATAACTTTATTGATTTTAAATAGATAATATATGATTTAATATTAAAATACGTTAGACCGACACCATAAATTTTGCTGGATGTATGTTAACACAACAAATTCTCATTCATTTTCTCTTATTAATTATAATGTTGAGGATATTTTGGTTATAGAACATTTAGAACTAGAAGAAAACTTAGCAAGGAGACTTTGGAAACTTACATCTGACTGCATACACGTCCGCTTTCGGTTTGTAATAAAGGTCACACTCGCAATCAATAGAGTCCTCGCTAATTTGGTTAAATCAATCCTTTTATTGCACGTCTTCTTTCCGTCAATCCCACAATTTTCATTGAAATTTTGTGCCTTTGTGCACACCTTACTTCTAGTTCCGAGAGCGCCTTTAACGTCTTTGCATCAACCATGTATAAGGAAAAAAGGTTGTTGAATTGTAAATAAAAATGTATAATAAGTAATTGCTAATGCATGAAGTTCAAATAAAATTTAAAAACCGTTTTCTTTGTATCGTGAATAACAAATCAAAAGACAAAACAAGAAAAACAATATGTTACCTTTCGATCACGTGGTTGAGATGAAGAACATGAGAAGTTGAGAACACAAGAAAGCATGAACAATATTTAAAAACCATTAAACCATTCACGTTTCTAATAAAAATAGAATCATTATATTTTAAATAATATTTTGGAAATCTAATTAACATTCTTCAGATAATACATGACAGGATTGATATAACGGGGAAGACTTGCTGGTTTGATGGTCCATTGGATACTGTAGTCCCTGCTTGCTCTGAAGGGGAAGACTTGCTGGTTTGCTAAAGATAGCACAAAAACACACCCCGGCGAATCCGTGCACATATTTAATTTTTCAACAGAGAAATCATCTCTTCTTGTGCCTCTTCCTTATCAGTTTGATCATTATGAAACTTCTTGTCTTTCCGTTGTTAGAGAAGATAAGCTTTCGGTGTTATTACAGCCCTATACTACATCCAAGACTGAGATATGGGTGACAAATAAGATTGGCGAGACCAAACCTGTGTCGTGGAGCAAGGTCTTAGCATTGGATTTGAGCCCTAATCTTGAAATTTCGACTTTTGGGACTTTCTTGGTCGACGAGGAGAAGAAAGTCGTTGTGTTGTATGAGACATGGTTTGACGCCGGGTCCATGTGTAGAGACGGGGTATACATTGTTGGAGAGGATAATAAAGTCACACATTTAGAATTTGGAGTAGGTACAATAGATGAATGTTGGCCACTTATTCTTGACTATGTTCCAAGTTTGGTTCAAAATTTCAAATCGATCGAGCCCGAGGGAAGAAAAGAAGAAGAGGTGACTAAATCGAGAGTCATGTTTCAATTTTAAAGCTTTTCTAATTCACTGACAAATGATTCATGATATACAAAGCTTTTCTCATTGTCTCTGCTCTTGAGTTATCTTTTTTCCTTCCAACTATATTCCCCTTTGCAAGTTGTACAGCTAGACATCATCACCCTTCGAGTGCTACTCCTAATTAAGAGCATGGCATGTTGCAAATATTATATGTCCGCGTGTTTCCTCAATATTTAACAAAGACACCAGGATTAAAGTTGGAAATAATGGACCAAAAAAACCCCCCAAATTACTTGAAACCACAACTTTCCCATGTTGAAAACACATAAGAGTATAAGACGTTCACTCGTGAAACACTCTTTGATTGTGCTTTAACCTAAACTTAAGCAGATATATTTATTGAAAAGAGATCCATGAATCTTCCTCTCATTTCAACTGCTGCAGCAAATTTCTTATTCGATATGTACACTATATAGTCAACCTTAAACAGTAA